GAATCCGCAGAACACCTAGATGTTAGCCAGCGTCGACCCCAAACCGTTTGTCTGTAGCAATATATCTTGTGCAATATATGTGAAGAAATCTATGTGGTGCAGTGTCATGGTGTCGATTGCTGTCTCTTGTCCAGATGGTTGTTCTGTGGCTCGGTTGTGACGGAGCAGCTCCCGTGCTCAGTCGAGCTGCTTTGGTGCGTGCTGTGGTGTACGCAGGCGCTGCTGTACGCAGCGCCATCCTCCTCGAGTGAGCCTCCGGAAGCGCCTCGGGGTGCGCTCTTCTGGCCAACACATCCGGGCGATCCAGCCGTGGCCTCGGGGACCACAGAAGAAGTCCACAACAGCAAGGGAAGGCCAAAATACCGTAAACTTCGATCCTCGTTCCTCCTTCGCCTCCGCCTCGTCGCCGAGTCGCCGCGGAGCCGCGGAGCCGTCTGGGCCTCATGAGTCTAGACCTCGCGATCTGACGTGTTCTAAGATGTTCGGACAAAAGGCCCTGCATGCCGCCACACGAACAGCACAACAACATGGCACGGCACAGTTCGGCTCCAAAACACAACATAGTGCGTCAAGAGGTCACGGTTTGGGTCCCACACGGCACCATAAATAACACGACACGGCGCGGCACGAGAACACAGCCTGCAATCCATGCGGCAAAGCACGACACGGCACGTCACTGTACGCGCACTCCTACGGCACGGCACGGCACAACACGGCACGGCAAGAGATCTCGCGTTGGGCTCCACCCAGCAGCAAGCGGCAAGGCACGGCTCGAAACCGTGGACCAGGACAGCATGGCACGACCTGGCACAAGCCCATGGTTTCGGTTCCTCACCGCACCTTGCCACACGCCACAACACAACACGAGATCACGTTCGGAATCGGCACGGCACCACGGCACGGCACGGTACGGAAAGCGCGAGAACACGATTAGATGCCCACGCCACCCCACACGGCACGGCACCTCTGGGGCCTGGCACCACAGGGCGGCCGGCACCGCACGACACCACGGCAAAGCACAACACAGCAAGGCTCAGCAGGACACCCTAGCAGAGCGAGACACGGCACGGAACAAGACTCGCGACCACGTACATATCCGCCGGCCCCCTTGTGGGGCCACCAGGCTGTAGGCCCGTGATTCGCAGTTTCCTGTACCAGTTGTAGTTTGTAGTTTCCAGTGTTACAGTTCTGCTTTTTGCTGGTTACTGTAACTAGTTGATTGACCGCGCGAGGGGAGGGAGGCCCAAACCAGATTTTTAGCACCACCTGGGCGCGTTGTCTGAATCGCTGGGGGGGCTCAAAATCGACACCCCTCACGCAGATCCGCGGGGTCAGGGTCCAAAAACACGTGGGATTTGCCACATTTCTGAAATCCGGCGCCACCCCTCACGCAGATCCGCGGGGTTTGGGTCCAAAAACACAAGGGATTTGCCACATTTCTGAAATTCGGTGCCACCCCTCACGCAGATCCGCGGGGTCAGGGCCCAAAGACACACGGGGTTTGCCACATTTCTGAAATTCGGTGCCACCCCTAACACAAATCCGCGGGGTTAGGGTCCAAAAACAAAGGGGAGTTGCAACATTTCTGAAATTCGGTGCCACCCCTCACGCAGATCCGCGGGGTTTGGGTCCAAAAACAAAGGGGATTTGCCACATTTCCGAAATTCGGTGCCACCCCTCACGCAGATCCGCGGGGTCAGGGTCCAAAGCCTGCTCTTCCATTGCCCATTCTCCGAGAGAGGGAGCCGGCGGCAGGGGGCGAAGCCCTTACGGATATATATATATATATATAATATATTATACATTATATATATATATATATATGTATATATATATATATTATATATATATATATATATATACTAGGCGTGGCCACGAGTACACCTGGACCGCGAACCCACCTGCGGTGGCCGTCACTCCCACCCGCACGCCACCCCACCATAAAGATCATCTCTCCCCTCGGTATAACCACAGCGAGTGCAATGTCGACGACGACGACGACGACGACGACGACGGCGACGACGGAGGTGCGATCCAGTTGGCACGCGAGTGCTCTAACGGGCTAAAGATTCTGCACGCATGCGCAGGAAGCGCGAGGTTGTCCAGGAGGTGGAACCGATGTACATAAGGGGGTCCCATTTTGTATTGTAAAATACAGGAGATTCTGCACGCATGCTCAGGATGGAGCATGCTTAGGATCGGCAAATGCGATTTTTTGCAGCGGATGGAGCGGGTTTACATAACGAGTTGCAACGGGGGCTGGGCACTTTGTGATGTAAAAAACAAGAGGTTCTGCACGCATGCTCAGGAAATGCTATTTTTTACCGTAGATGGAGCGGGTTTGCATACGGGCCGCTTTTAGGTTGTTCAGGGTTTAAAAATTATAGAATTAGATATATATATATATAGAAAGAGAGAGAAAGAAAACAAACAAAACAACAAAAAAGATAGGGAGAGATAGTAGGGGGTCGACTACAACATTGCGTTGCCCAATAATTCCTGATCATCCTGTGGTGTTGGGTCCTCGTTTTGAAGAGAAACCCCCGCGCCCGCGTTCCTCTCTTCCTCTCCTCCTCATCCCCCTTCTGCCTCATCCCATCCCTGCCTCTGTCTCCCCCACTCAGCACAGCGTTTCGTGGCCCCATGGGGAGTTCCACCCAAAGCCCCAGTGGCGATGTCCACATGCGCCCCCCCACGCAGCACAGCGCTTCGTGGCCACATAGGAAGTTTCTCATATAGGTCGTGGCGGTGTCCACATGCGTGCCCCCCACGCAGCACAGCGCTTCGTGGCCCCATAGGGAGCTCCACCTAAGGCCCCAGTGGCGGTGTCCACATGCGTCCCCTCCACCCAGCACAGCGCTTCGTGGCCCCGTAGGGAGCTCCACCTGAGGCCCCAGTGGCGGTGTCCACAAGCGCCCACCCCCCACGCAGCACATCGCTTCGTGGCCCCATGGGGAGCTCCACCTAAGGCCCCAGTGGCGGTGTCCACATGCGCCCACCCCCACGCAGCACAGCGCTTCGTGGCCACATACGGAGCTCCACCTAAGGCCCCTTGTGGCGGTGTCCACGTGCGCCCCCCCCCCCCACAGCGCTTCCTGGCCCCATACAGGCTCCACCCAAGGCCCCAGTGGCGGTGTCCACATGCGTCCCCCCACGCAAAACAGCGCTTCGTACCTCCACCTAAAGCCCCGGTGGCGGTGTCCACATGCGTCCCATCCCCCACGCAGCACAGCGCTTCGTGGCCCATAGGGAGCTTCACATACGGCCCCAGTGGCGGAGTCCACATGCGTCCCTCCCACGCAACACAGCGTTTCGTGCCCCCATAGCTCCACCTAAGGCTCCATTGGCGGTGTCCACATGCGTCCCCCCCCCACGCAGCACAGCGTTTCGTGGCCCCATGGAAAGCTTCACCTGAAGCCCCTGGCAGTGTCCATATGCGTCGTGGCCCCACGGGGAGCTCCACCCAAGGCCCCAATGGCGGTGTCCACATGCGCGTCCACTCCACCCAGCACAGCGCTTCGTGGCCTCATAGGGAGCTCCACCGAAGGCCCCAGTGGCAAAGTTCGCATGCGTCTCCCCCACGCAGTACAGCGTTTCGTGGCCCATAGCAAGCTCCTCCTAAGGCGATACCCACACCTAGGGCACTCACAAATGCATATAGTTGGGTCTTTCGCCAGGCTACTTTGTTTTTGTTGCAGGAATTGTCTATCAAGAAGTGGTCGTCGAATCAACACACCTTCTGCGTTTTTGCTTCTCTATATCTGGCGATGCTTTCGATTCTGCGTAATCAAGTGTAGTCGATCCCCTGCTCGAACACAGCTAATGACACGGCACGGCACGGCACCAACGACAGCGAAGACGTACCTACCTAGAGGGCGATTACTATCAAGAGCACCTGAGAGAAGGACCCGCCGGGGTAAACGACACAGCGCAACTAGGCCGTAAACAGCAGCGCTGCATGAGAACACACACACACACCGTACCAATCAACGTCGAAAGGGGGCGGGGGCACGACAAGGCAAGGTACGGCACGATTCTGGCATCCTAGAATCCAGGCACGGCACGGCACGGCACCGCACATTGTTCTTGGCACCAGAGCCGTGTACTCTCGCTCGTCGTCCGTCGCCACACCCTTCCTGCCGCGTCCCACGGGACCCCGCCCTGCCACCTGGCCCCCCCGGCCTCCCAAGGCCCTGGCCCCGTCCCCCTCGCCCTGGCCCGGGAGCCTGCACCCTCCCCTTGCCCACCTGCGCGCTTCAGAGCCTGGAGCCCCTCGCCTCGAAGCCCTCCTACTGTCTTGCACAGCCGTGCTCCAGAGCTCAGGCCCCCTTGATCTTCGCTCCTGACAACCTACCAGATCACCCCAACCCAACCCGAAGACCCGAATATGTACCGAATCTCGGGGTGGGGGGGGTACGGGTTCCATGCGTTTTTTCAACGCTCCCCGACCCCCCCCCCACTGGAAATGGAGGGCAAATTGAGGCCTTCGGGTTGGGTTGGGGTGGTTTTCTGGGTGGTGGCCTACCCCCACCCCCCGGACCTGGACGAAGAGGTGTCGGGGGGGTACTTGGCTGACCCAGAGCGGCTCCAAGAAGGCCCCAAGTAGCTCAGGATATGGCATCCACGATGGCACAAGGTGACGTCCAGCATGCCTCCAATAAGACCCACGACCGCCGCAATACGACCGCCGCAATACTCCCCCCCTCCTCCTCCTCCTCCTCCTCCTCCTCATCATCATCATCATCCTCCTCCTCCTCTCCTCCTCCTCCTCCTCCTCCTCTCCTCCTCCTCCTCCTCCTCCTCCTCCTCTCCTCCTCCCCTCCTCCTCCTCCTCCTCCTCCTCCTCCCCCCTCCTCCTCCTGCTCCTCCTCCTTCTTCTGCTCCCTCCTCCTCCTCCTCCTCCTCCTCCTCCTCCTCCTCCTCCACTTCCTCCTCCTCCTCCTCCTCCTCCTCCTCCTCCTCCTCCTCCTCCTCCTCCTCCACTCCTCCTCCTCCTCCTC